TTGGGGACATATGATGCCCTCCCACAAGAGAAGACATTTATCCCACAGTTTGAAGAAGAGTAGACATTGTAACCCAATGTTGGTGAGGTACTAAGGCTGCAGGTACATTGCTCAGAGTGGTATGTGTACACTGAATATATCTATAAGTACAAAGTAGTGGAAATGAGGCTCTTGCTCACACCTCATCTTACCAACATAAATGAAGGGATGATTAAATGATGAACAAATGAAATAGAGGAAAATTAAGGATTTTAAAGTTATTATTATTATTATTATTATTATTATTATTATTATTATTTAGTGTATGTGTAATATCTCACTCCACGGCATGTGTATGAAATGAGAAGAAAACATCCAGGAGTCAGTCCTCTCCTTCCATCATCTGAGGCAATCTCATGTCATTTCTGCTGTTCTGAGTGCTCCAACTGGGCTGGCACACCAGTGTCCAGGTGACTCTCCTGTCCATGTGTCTTGTCTCACCACACTAGTGAGTGCATCTCACCACAGATGCACATGACAGTATCAGCTTTTTCACATGTGTTCCTTGGGTCAAACTCAGATCATCAGCCTTGCATAGAAGGTGTGTTTACCCATACAATCATCTCACATGCCCACTGAGGATTTTTTTTATGGAAAGTTTTATCATTAGTCATGTGACATTTTAGTTTTCTTAAATAAAGTGTTATAAATAAAATTTATTTATGAAAGAAGAAAAGCTATAAAAGTGAGTTCACTGAAGGCAGTAGAACCTTAGCATGAAAATCAGATGTCCTGAACTCAAGTATCAAATTTTGCCACATTTTCCTCTGGGGCCTCACTATCCCAGTGTGAAGTGGCATTATCAACTACCAGTAACTATAAACCTTTCCTCTGAGAATTGTCTCAAGCTGCTGGGCCCTTTTAAACTAGGCTCACCACAGGGAGGGATGCAAGCAACTTCCCTCAGTGACTGCAGAGAGCTGGCCTCCCTTAGCATTCATGCAGTGCAATTAGGCCATACATGCTGTAGCCTGGCCTGCAGCTTCTCAGCAGGCCTTATTTCACACAGCAATGACCTCCTTGGTAAAACTTACATGACTATCTTTCTCTCCTGGAGTCAGTGTCTAATATACTCCCAATATCTTCGGGGAGAACACCCCAAGGACTGAGATTATTGGCACTGATGTTATACTATTAGGTTTCTGTTTTTCTGAAGAAAGGTAAACAAAATATTCCATACCTATAGTGTCCCTGGGCAGCTGACCACAGAGACCAAATCCTGGACACTGATTGCTCACTGCCTATAGGTTACAAACCTGCTCTCTGTGGGGATTCTCAAACCACAGAAGACTCAAACTGGCCATAACTTCACAAATGCTAAGGATGTTGCCAGCAGAACATTTAGATAGAAAATAGAATTAAATGTCCTAGTTTGAGCCATATCTCATATTTCTGTATCAAAGTCAGACTCTGAAGCGGAAAAAGTCAGTCACTGAAACCAATGATAAGTCAAAGCCTCAAAAGTGTCTGTCGTGGTCTCAGAACTATATGATTCGTTGTCTTAAGGCAAGGGCCATCACGGGTGAAGTGACTTGGCCTTCTGTGGTATTTGACCCCACTTCCCTTAACTGCTTCTAAATGAAAGTCCAGGTTACAATCAGATATGACCGTGATGGAGTAAGTCCTATCTCTGCCTCAGATAAACACATTATTACTAGAGCCTGCAAGTGGTACTTGAGTGTGCAATGTACCCTCAATACTAGGGTCTTGTAGGCTATTTTCTTCAAGCTCTAAGAAGATATTACAGTAGACTGTCAGCAGTTTGTCTGCAGCAATGACTTGGGGGGTTCTTGCCAAATCATTCAATTCTGAGTCACAGGAATACCCCTGATACTCCCTTCTGGGTGTTTCTACTCGTCTCTACAGTCCTGCCATAGCAGCTTAGGAGCGGGGGACTGCTTCCCCGATTCTGCTAATGGGTCTACGAGTCTCTAGACCTTATCAGGACTTCTGCAGTTAAGATATACTGGGATTAGACCATTAAGTCATTAATCTAGAATCAGTAAAGGGAGTTAAGGAATACATTTTAAATTACAAACTATCCCCTTTATTTCATAAACACTCCCCATCATTTGAGTACATATTATCATGAACTATGATTTGATGACACACTACTTTAGCAATATATTTCCAACCACATCTCCATTGTTTCACAAAAGTTTCATTTCTAAAACTGAATGAGGCATTTCTAGTGAAATTTACACACCTACCAGCAAGACTTTTCACATACATCAGATGAAATCTGAAATTTTTTCTGACTTATTATTAAAGTTAAAGGTGCTGAACATAAAGCTGGCTCCTAAGAATTTAGGAAAAGGGTCCATACCAAGGATATTGCTTGAACAAATCTGTGGTCAAGGCAATTGCTTTACTGAGTATACATCTATTTTTCATTTGAATTGTTTTTTAGTATATCTCTAATTATTTTGTCCATCAAAAAGCAATGTCTTTTTTTTCAAGACAAGGTTTCTTTGTGTACCCTTAGGTGTCCTGAAACTTGTTGTGTAGACCAGGCTGGCCTCAAACTCAGAGATCCACCTGCCTCTGCTGAGATTAAAGGTATGCACCACTTTTTTTTTTTTTTTTTTTTTTTTGGTTTTTTAAGACAGAGTTTCTCCATGTAGTTTTGGTGCCTGTCCTGGATCTCACTCTATAGACCAGGCTGGCCTCGAACTCACAGAGATCTGCCTGGCTCTGCCTCCCAAGTGCTGAGATTAAAGACGTGCGCCACCACTGCCCGGCTTCCCCACCCTTTTTATGTATCTATTTTCAGGAGTTTTTTTGGGGGCAGGGAAACTTTATATGTGTTATTCAGATTCATGTCCTCCCTTACCGTCTCCTAGGTCTACTTCCCTTTTCTCTGCTGTTAACTTGTGTCTTTTCCTTTTAAATCTACCAAGTCCAATTTGTTGCCTGTATATTTTTTAATACGTGGTCATTCACTGGAGTGTGGTTCACTTACCAGAAGTTACACTCTTAGAGAAAACAGACTCTCCCTCTAAAAGCAGCTAACAGTTGCCAGTGAACTTTGGCTACGGGTCCAGCTTCTCTCTCCGTACTGGAACACAGTCCGTCTTGGGCTTGCACTCACCCTGTGTATGGTGTCACAACTGCTGTGAATTCAGCTGCCCTGCTGTTTCAGAAGACACGGTTTCCTTATACTCTTTCACACCTTTTCTGCTCCTTCTGCAACAATCCCCGACCTATGGGAGGAGTACATTATATGTGCTACAATTAGGGCTAGGTAGTCTGAAATGTCTTATTCTCTGCTACCAAGATGCTCTGGGTATCTGTGTTGATGTTCATTTACTACAAACAAGCTTTTCTGATGTGAGTTGAAAGATGAATTAATCAATGCCTATAGTGATAAATCATTAAGAATTAGTTTAATACCATGTAGCAGAACCATAGGAGTAGATTCTCCCCCAGGGTCTATGACATGTATAGTCACAGGTTCTTAGCCTGATAATGGTGCTCAGTGTAGGTTTCATCTTGTGGCGCAACATGTAAATATAGTTAAAAAGTGGTTGGGTGTCCCCATGATGCCCATGCCGCCACCACAGTGGTGGGACATGTCTGGCCAGGCCAGTTACTGTTTTAGTTCACAAGGGATGACACCTGAGTAAGAGACTGATAATTTTTTTTTTCTCCTCTGCTACCCTGGATAACGCTTTGCAGCTTTATCAAAGCTAGCTAGTAAGGAAGAAGTTTCCAAATCTGTATCAATTTGATTTCTCCATATTCTGTGACACAAGTTTATGGTGTGTTCGGCAATAGAGTCTTACTGCCAAGTTCTGGAGGATAGTCAATACCATTGGAGATTGTCTTTCATGTTTGGGGTTCTAAGGAAACTCATATGCCAACAACTCTAAAAGAATTAACCCATTTTTGGCAAAGGGTGCTTATTTGTTATCCTATGGTACAGGCATTATTTCCCCATTACAGTATAACCCCAATTTAACTTTTTTATCTGTATGCGTGTGTGTGTGTGTGTGTGTGTGTGTGTGTGTGTGTGTGTGTGTGTATGGATATATGTGTATATATATATATATATATGCATATACATGTATGCATGCTTGTGTGTGTATTTATTTTAGGAAGCTTCTAGCAGGATAGTCTCTTTTACACTTTTTTTTTTATAAATTTTAGTTTTTTATTTTCTTCAAGATTCCTTATTGAATAAACAGAGGATAGATTTCCTAGAAAGTAAGGGAAGGTCAGGCCAATTCATAAAGGGCCAGTATTCTGTACTAAAATAACACTATATACACAGCCAATGTGTTTTAACAAGGCCAACTTAACTTGAAATTTTTATCACAGTGAAGATTGCTTTGGAAAAGAACTAATGAAATACTGCCTGAAATTTTGATCCATTAAAAAGAGGAAAAAGTGGAGGTGAGGTGATGTCTGACTTTTTAAGAGTACTTGCTGCTCTAGTGGAAAACCTGAATTTGGTTCCCAGCATCTACATGGTGGCTTACAATCATCAATAACTCCAGTTTCAAGGGATTTCATACCATGTTCATAGGGTTTCTGTGAGCACTGGGTACACATGCAGAGCTCATAAACACTCATACACACCGAATGAAATAAATAAGTCTTAAAATTGGATAAAAGTTTCAACAAAAGAAAAAGGGAAAGGGAGATGATGGTGAAGAAGAAGATAGAGAAATGACAAATACATGAAATACAGATGATTGATGACAGAAAGAAAGACAGGCAGACAGACAGACAGATAAAAGCACTGCTAATGATCACAGGCTGAAATGCAACACTTATTAATTTTTTTTCTAGAATTAACATCTAAGTGTGTGCCTATCCATCTTGTTGAAGAATTTTCCTTTATAAGAAAATATACAATATTGTAAAGAAAGAATACATTGTTCTTGTTACCCTTAGAAATAAGTTTTTTTCTAATATATTCTCAGTATATATCTTTGAGTCATATTCCTTCATTTTAGGCACATGGCTTGGAATTCATAACTATACACACATGGATCAAGAGTGCTTAGAAGGAAATTCTACTCTTCTGGAATACTGAATGCAAAATTAAAGTCTGCCACTGCAAGCAGAACTGGAAGAAATGAAATGGAATATGAAGTATGGCCTTTCAAAGCATTATTAACAGCTAATGTGTGCATTTTGCCTGAAGAATAAAATAATGTCATTGATGTATCTTGAATTCTGATTTATTTTGGTAAGTTACTTTGAAATATATAGGAAAGAGACATTAATAGAGGCACTCAATTCTGTCACCTCTTACCTTTTATTTAATAATGATTTATTCCAAGACCACTATTGTAAGACTACCTAAAATCATAAATTTACCAGCTTCTCTTCAAATTAAGATGTTTAGTATCATTGAGATTAATTTCACTATTTATCACTGTCAGCTAATTTACATGCTGGCACATATATTCTAAGACAGAATTTCTATTTGCTTGATTACTCTCTGGGATATGAATTTATTGGAAAGTTTCTCTGATAATCTCTTTCAAGGAGATTTAAGAGTATACCAGAGAATGCTAGCATGAAATCTGGGTTGGATGTTCATTTTGTTGAAAGCTTTATATGATAACAAAGCAAGTATGCACACAGACACAGACACAGACACA